TGAAGCCTTGTAAGAGGGATCCAGGTGGGGCTGGTTTTGAAGACATTGAGACTTTGGCTTTGAAATAAAAAGTATAAAGTCTTCCATGCTGCAGCTACTGAATGGCTTCACACCGCTGAAATAACTAAAATTACATTTTACTTCAGTGTTCCTTTCTCTAAGAATTGCTAGCATATACTACACATGAGCATATAAAAAACCACATGAAAATGTTGTTTCATTAAATGCTAATATAAAGTTAACTGTTCAGATTCTAAACTCATACTAATCTTTCATTCATAGAAGTAATAAATAAAATTTCCTTATCCATCACACTGGTTTCTCTAATTGACCTCACACCTCCCAGGCTGCTGCGTGTCAGTTACATATGATTCCTTCTCTTCTTCTAACTGATGAATATTGGAATAGCCCATAATTCAATAGTTAGACCTCATTGTATCCATCTATGTGTAACCAGTTCTATGTCTTCAGTTATGATCTGTACCATGAGAGTCCACATGTTTTCTCTTGACTACAGATCCCCATATATATATACTTTCTATTGTGAATTGGGGGGGTGGAGGCTTATGTATAAGGGCATTATTTTTGCATTCAACAAAATAAATAGCTTATCAAACTCTCCACAGCATGTTCTATTTCCCTCTCCCCTACCCCTGCTTTCCCATCTCCCTCTAGTAGTGCATTAACTTCCCCTTCACACACATTAACATCTGTCTACACTATAGCTGATTGCTCCCTTCTCTCCAATCCGCTCATGCCCCTACTAACCATCAAAACCTACTTCTTTCCTTGATTTGATTTTTTATATCAGTGGTCTCCTACAGCATGTGCTCTTGAATCATTGACTAATTCCCTCAGCATAATGTCTGCTATATCACTAGCAAAAACATGTTCCAGTCTGTCTTTTTAATCTTGTGGTGAATTCTTCTAATCTACATAGGTTTGCTGTCTTTACGAGCATTCTCTACTTTTACATCTGGGTCCTAATATTCATCGCAGTTGGCCATAGAACACACGGGCAATATCCATGATGAACGGGGTTTCTTAGGGTGCCACAAGTTAAGATCAACAACACTAAGGGCATGAGCATTGATCTAGAGCAGCACCCTTTCTATGCCAGCAGCCAACTCTCTCTGGAGCCATCCGCCTCGCAGTCACAGAGTCCTGTTGCCTTTGTCTCCATAGGTCAGGGAGCCAGCTTGTCACTCTACCTTCTAGTCCCACAGCCTTACACCAGATGAGGAGGCGGTACCCC